TATATACACACACACACACACACACAAACGCACGCGCGCGCGCACACACACACACAGTATATATATGAAAGGACATTTTGATTGATAAAAACAAGTAAACATAAGCCTGCAAAAACCCAACTAGGATATTCGTAGGCATACCGTTTGAATAACAGTATGATTATTTTACTCATCAGTAGTAATAGCTCAATAAATTATAATCTCTAATCTTATGCTTTTTAAGGCTTCACAAGAAGCAGCAGTTTGACAGCTGTTTGTATGCTCGTTATCCTCTGTGAAGAATGACTAAAATAAATTATATTACTAAGAGCATCTTACAGTGTAGCCCAATGATTTAGTATACTACCCCAGGTGGCCAAGGTGCCCACACCAGAAGGAGCAGCACAATGTCCATTGAATTAAACTCATATCTTAAAGCACCATTGTATCTTGGCAGACAAAGAAAACGCACATTTTGCCTTGATTTGAGATATAGATTTATTCTTAGTGATCTTATAGTTTTTGCACAGAATAAAAATATACTTCTCATTTGACTCTTTAATATTGCATGTGTTGATTTATGGGATATTGACCGACTGAAGATAATTGCAGGTAAATGGTAAATGTAACTCATTTTGCCATTTCACTCTGTGTCTGTGTGTGTGTGTCTCTATGCAGCTGACCCCTCGTATTCTGGATGCGTGCCAGAATGTGGCTCAGCTCTCACTGGTGGATGCAGTCTTGCGCTTCCTGCAGATCTGGCAGGCCCTGCCCGACTTTGGCCTCTCATATGTCGTAGTCAGGTTCCATCACACATTTGTTTGCAAGCTTTTTAATCATTTAAATGAAAGCAGTACTGTCATCCCAGAGTTTTTAAATCAATGAGGACTTGACAGAATGAGGAGGAAATAAATTGTTTTTCTTGTCGGACAGGTTCAAAGGAAGCCGTAAAGACGAGGTACTGGGCATTGCTCCCAACCGTCTTATCCGCATCGACCTGGGTGTGGGAGACGTGGTGAAGACCTGGCGGTACAACAACATGAAGCAGTGGAACGTCAACTGGGACATTCGACAGGTGTGAAAAGTCCACCAGCCATCACTTATAATTATGAGCATTACAGTGAAACACCAATGATTTATTCTGTGGGGAAAAAATATGCGATCGCTGCTGTTGGTTGTGTGGTTTTAACCACATCACAGGTGGCAATAGAGTTTGAGGGGAACATCAACATCGCCTTCAGCTGTGTGACGGCCGACTGCAAAATTGTTCACGAGTTCATCGGGGGCTACATCTTCATGTCGACGCGCAGCCGCGACAAGAGTGACAAGCTCAACGAGGAGCTCTTCCACAAGCTGACCGGAGGACACGAGGCGCTCTAGACTCTAATACACCAAACAATCTTAATCATTTTCGATTGTAGGCAAAAAAACATGACATATGCATTTTCATTCCAGTCTGCCAAATGTCAAAAGATAAAAAGCAACAAAGAAAACATTGCACACCCCTCACGACCAATGTATAGTACACTTACCTCATTGTTACTAGCTCAACACAAATAGCAAATGAATTCCGTGTGAGAAAACAAATAGATGTCAACAGCAAATGTTCACCACTTACACATTTAATAAAATAAATTGAGCGCATTTCATTCTTATACGTGTTCATACCCTCTTTGTCAAGGCATCTGGTGCCATTGCCATTTTCACAAAGTGATATGCTGAACATTCATCTCAGGTAATTTCAGCTCTGCCTATTATTATTATTCATTGAAGACTATTATTGTCTGTAGGTGTGAATGAGAGTGTGAATGCTTGTTTGTCTATACTGTATGTTCCCTGAGATTGACTGTCCCTCCCCAAAGTCAGCTGGTAAAGGCTCCACCTCACCCGAGATCCGAATGCAGATTAGCGATAGAGAAAACGGATGCACTTGTTGAACGGTCTTCTGCTGGCATCACAGCGGCAGGATCCACCCTAAAAACAAAAGACAACACCTGCTCACCGTCAGGATAGAAAAACAACACACAATTGACACATATGGTGACTCTCTTACTCGTAGGCCTGAGTTGTATGGCTCGGCTAAAGTATGTCGCAGGAAGTTTCCCTTCGATGTTCCCTGTTGTCAACAACACACGGTTCTCTGACCAGAAGAACTCAATCCCATCTGTGCAGTCATATTCAGTCAGGTCAATTTTTTTAAATGAGATTACCTGCACAGGATGTCAATCAACAGTGTGTCATCTTACCAGCAAGCGCCTTGGGTACATCAATAAATATAGCGAGATCACAGTCTTTCCTCATACCTGGTTAAAAATGAGGAAAAAAAACCCAAAACACTCTCATCGAAAAGCTTTTGATGAAAGGCACGCAGTAAACCTTTGCGTACCGCTTATTACGCCGTCTTCTTGTGGCAAGCCTGGGGCCAGATGAATGTGCGTCCTCCTCATGCGACTCAAACCCTGCTCCTGGATGGAGCTCCAGTTGCGCATGTAGGACCCGTGAACAGCCTCGGCAGGACAGTCGGGAGAACCGGTCAAAACAGGTTTCAGCTCCAGATCCGTTACCTAGCCACAAACATTCAAGCGGGATTAAAACTGCATTCATTTATAACTGGTGCGCTGGAGATTCCTGGATCAAATATATGCAGGAAGCTGAGCTTGACTTTACCTGTATTGTGTGTCCCTGATTGGCTCGAATTTGCAAGCGGCCATTTTCTGGGTGAGGACGAAGTTTAAAACGCTGCTTGTCATTTGTGGCCACCACTCTCTCAACATCCTCCAGTTTGTATGAGCGAAACTGCGGGCAAGCCAAGACATCCTCCACAAACACGTAGCCATCTATGAAGAGTTAATATGACTTTGGGACACATGACTGCAGAAGTACTAATCACCATTGGTGCAATATATTAAATTAAATGTCATTACGCTGCATCTTTCTCCACTGCTTATTTGGGCTGAATGATTTTGAAAAATTATATAATGCAGAGATGAAAGTGGACTTTCCTGAAAATTCCGGAATAAATAAATAAATAAATAAATGTGTGTGTGTGTGTGTGTGTGTGTGTGTGTGTGTAGCGCTCGCGTGTGCGTGTGTGTGTGTGTGTGTGCGTGTGTGTACACACACACACACACACACACACATACACGTGCGTGTGCGCGCGCTCACGCACTTGGCCGATCAAGCATGATGAATTAGTTTACACAAAACGCTATTCAAATACTCGACATTCAATGATTAATCTTCCTTTTGTGTGCACACTTGTACCCTTTGTGGCTTCCGTTCGGGCCAAAATTTCGAAATCTCCAAGATGTGGCGAGGCCATGAGAATGCGAGGCGAAGGTATTACTGTTGTGGCGAGTCCAACAACGGCTAAGCTAAGTTAGCCGAGACGACACTCGAAGTCGGACGGACACGATTTTCTGCCAATCTGTGTTTTTCCCTTTTTGGCCAAATATATTTTTTACGACAACTGTCTTGTTGACGGCGTCTTTTATTCGTTCCACTGGGGTTTAGCAGGTGTGTTTATAAAGAGACGAAAATTGTTTGGGGACTATCCCCCACGTTCTAGTTGAGATGGTATAACCCAAGAGGCAAAATGACACTTGCTACTGTTGTTGCGAGTTGCCATTCGTTCTACTAAACCATTAGTCAAACGCCATCATGCCTTCTGTCGTTATTACACAAACAAAAATCTCTTTACTGTTACTAGTGTTAGTGCCTCAATATGGCTACGCTCGTGAAAGCAATACAACGAACTCAAACGCGTCTTCGTTCAATGTTGTCAACTAATATCCGGATTATGCAAATTTTCCTCAATTCTCCGGAGAAATTTTCATAAAAATTTGAAAAACCCGGAATTCTGGGAAAATCCGGAGGACTTTCATCTCTGATTAATGCAAGTTTTCTTCCTCAATATTGTGATTTAATATGCAATCATTTATTCAAGACCTTCTTCCCATGTATTTAACAAACACACACAATAAATTAATGCATATTACAAAAAACATCGGATTTATAATTTTTAATTCATAATTGTTTTGGTTTTGTAGATTAGGCCCCTGGATTCAAACCCTAAACCTCAGAACAGTATAACATACGCACTAACCGGTAGGCAACCATGCTACAATAAATAAAACATTTTTACACAGTTCTTGTATTGGATACTATTGGGTTCTGTAGGTGCATTGTAATTTTCAGCCATTCAGTTCAGAAAGAGAAGTAGGTGTTTTCACTCACCTGAACTTAAATGTAGCCCCATTTGGGTAGCACCGTGGCGAAGAGCATAGGACATCGATTTAGACAACCTGACATCTCTGTCCTGGCAGGGGAAAGCAAATCAGTTTTTTTTTTTTTTTTTATTAAAATACGTCAAATTATTTAATTGGATATATAAAAGCTCTCCAATGCCCAAACTATTAAAGTTAATTCAGACAAACACAACATATCATCAGCAACATTCAACAGTTTCATACCTGGTGTGAATCTCTCATAAAAGACGATTTGATTGGTATCACGATACAGGGGATGCGTTAAGATTCTAGGACAGTACAAATGTAATGATTCGATTCGGCTCACAGTAGATTTAAATCCAATGTTTTGTTTTTTTACACATCTACTTTACTTTGAAGACAGACACACTTTAAAAACCCCTAACTTTCTTCACAGTTGTCTCAAGAAAATACTTGTAATGGCAGTGGAATATTTAAAAATATGTCTGACAATTCTGGTCTGGTGTAAATCATTTAAGCTTTGAAATTTCACGTACACGCAACTAATAATGAAACGTCTGATCCAAACTAGCAACCTTTTGGTTAAAAAACAAAACAAAACAAAAAAACCCCACTATTTTGTGGGGGGTAGGGGGTTTCCATTGATTGATTAAATTACTTGTTTTCGTTGTTGTCAATACGAGTAGACTACTGTATAACTCACAGCATAATTTATTTTTACCGTTCGTACCAGAGTACATTTCAGACTGCGCACTCATTTTAAAGAAGTCAAAATCGGTTATTCTAAATTTATTTTTACTTTGCCACCTCTTCCAAAGTGGCCGGAACTCACCTCTTCGCCACCACGTCTCCCTCTTTGGCCTCTTCGATTTCCTCTGTCAGACTCCATTTTGAGACCACTCAAGGTCATCAAACGTGATCACGTGGCTAGTGGAGACATGGTCACGTGACACTAAACCTGCTTTTCCGGTTTGTGTGGCTCTGAATGGATGTGTTAGTTGCCTGAGATTTACGGTTTGTGGTGGAAGACGACCACTACGCCTGGGTAAGATCATCATCTTGGTCATTTTTTATTACAATTTAAAACAGACTATTAAAAGATGAGGTGTCGCCCTAGCAGATTTGGGCAACTGGGGAAGACGGTGGCTGAAGGATATTAACGATTAGTTCAAGAGGTTGCGGGAATTGTCAGGTTGTGTTTGTTGTGTGTTTTTATGTTGCTCTGGAATGATTTGTCTGACGTTACATTTAGTAACGTTGCATTAGATTGTTTGTCCACAAAAGTCTATTATTGGTATGCGTTAGTAACGTTGATTAGTCAGAGGTGGGTAGTTGAGTCTCTCATTGTAATGGTACCATTACTTTAGAATAATATTACTCACTTAAAAATATAGTCCTTCAAATAATTATTTGCTTAAGAATAACTTCGTATTAAATTAAAAAGCTTTTTAAGTACTGAGTAACTGTGAGTAACTTCTAATTTATTTTGATCTAAGCATGATTCATTTTTACAAGAAAAAAAAACGTTTCGGTGAGCAATGCATGTTTTGCATTGTCAATCTGGATGTCGCTATTTTACACACAATCTAAAGTCATAGTTCGTTTATATATATATATATAAAATCAACTATAATAAACACTGCAACATGAATTAAACCATGTGTTAAATATGACACATAAACTATTAGTAACGCAAACACACACCACAAGGATTTTGTCAGTGTAACGTAATTAATTTAATGCATTGCCCCACGCAATGCAATTTGATTGCTATTCATCAGGTTGCAATTCAATTCAATATTGAATCAATAAGAACTAAAACTACACAAAATAGGAGTATAAATACTTAAGTCTGCATGCATTAAAAAATGAAAAAAATGCACATTAAGTACAAAAGTAAAAAACTGATCAATGAAATTGCATATAAATGTAATTATTTCCTCTTGGAAATGGTAGTAAATACAAAAAATGCGCACACTAATAACTGAATTGTCAGGTGTGTGTTCCTCATAAAATCCATCATTTAATAATTTTTCACCACATATTCTCGTCCTTTTATTTGTCTTCCTTGTTGGTCAGGTTATGGAGTTTCCTCAGCATTCCCAGCAGCTGCTGTCAGCTCTGCGCTCCCAGCGTCAGCGCGGCTTCCTTTGCGACTGCACCGTCCTGGTGGGCTCATCCCGTTTCCTGGCTCATCGAGCTGTTCTGGCCTCCTGCTCGCCTTTTTTCCACATGTTTTACTCGGATTCACTCCGCAGCGCTGGCGCAAGTGCTTCCAGCAGCTCTGTTACACTTGACAGCGATATTGTCACGGCGGCCGCATTCAGCCTGCTCCTTGACTTTGTTTATGAAGGGGTGCTGCAGCTGGAGAAGTCGCCACCACTGGAGGACGTATTGGCAGCGGCGAGCTTCCTTCACATGAACGAGGTGGTGAGGGTGTGTAAAAGAAGGCTGCAGAGCCGAGGGCCCTTGGCTGAGGCGGATAGCACTCGCTCTGAGGAGAACACTGGGGCCAGGAAAGTAACAGAGACAAGGAGGCAGGATTGTGGGGATGCTGGCCCTGAGCCTGTGGTAACCATGGCAGCAGATCACTTGATTCCCATTGCCATGACAACAACCGTCACGCCAGTTCCCCTCATGGCAGGACAGCGTATGTCGGAGTCTGTCAAGTCTGAGTACAGGATTGATGTGGGCTCACCAGAGGTACGAGCTCAGACTCCCCTGAGTCCTGATCTCGCTGACACCACGCAGCCTGGCATGGGTGGCCCTCATCTGCTACCCTGTGGAGAACTGGCGCAGGGACCCGCTCTGGGTCATTCTATGCAGGAGTCGGGAGGCCCCAACAGGTTGAGAACTGGCAGTCAGGGTGAAGGCTCAGCTCTCTCCAGCCCATGCAGCACCACTGAGACATACAGGTACAAGTCGAGAATCTACACCCTCGGTATTGCCTGAGTAGTGACCTATAAAATAAATAAATAAATAGTGGCCGTGACCCATAAGGTGCATCACTGACTTGGGGGAAAAATGGTGGAAAAAAAGTGCTGTGATTATAAATGTAGTTTTTCTGGGTCCTTGCACATTTAAAAATGTGTATAGTAGGTTAAATGAGGAATCTTAATTGTCCATATGCATTATTTTGAATGTTTATCGGTGTGTAAGTGACCTGTGAAATACTGCCGACGAGTCCAGGGTGACCCTTCCTCTTGATCAAAGTTATCTGGGATCGGCTCCAATTCACTTGCCACTCTAATGAGGACAAGCACAAGAGACAATGGATGGATAGATGACGGCAGTCAGCATATCAGACGTGGCACCTGTAAAGCTGAAATTTATTGTGGAGTTTACATTGGAGCTATGTATATTTGGCACCTGGACCTTCAGTGGGGCAGTCTGGAAATTTACCTGAAGCAATTATAGTGTAGAACCATCAATTCTATGCAAAAACACCCCATAAATAATCTGGACCCCTTCAAATTCAGAATTTATCTTATAAAATTATATATACACGCACACACTTGTCAAACAAACTTGTGGTGCTGATTCTAAAATGTTTTAATGTGTGCAGAGGACTGAAAAATGCTGACATTGTGGGCCTGCTAGGTGACCCTTTGAGGCAAATTTGAAATCTGATTAGTTAAAGAAACAAACTCAGACAACTAATGATTATTTTAACAATTATTCAATCCGTCAATTAATTGATTAATCTGATTTTTAAAAACATGTTTTAATTTTCATCCCTTTATACAAAAAGAGGACAATATTTCAATTTGACAGCGTAAATAACTTTTGCATTTTGCACAAACAAATTATTGTATTTATGATTCACTTACTGGTTTGCTTTGTAACATTAAAAAAAAAGATAATTGTAATCCAAAGTAAAAGCAAATGTCTTATTTTGAGTTGACAAAGATGATCAGTCTGCTCTCATGGAGCACTACAGAAAGGTATATTTAATATTGAGAAGATGAAAATGTGAGGATTTTGACCATTTTAAATTATAAGAGCTATCTAAACAATGAATCAATTATCAATAATATTTATCAATTCATTTGATAATCAATTAGTTGTCGTTCAATCGTTTCACCTCTCAAACAGCCCCATTGGCAATCTAGTTTTAAGTTAGATTGACCAGCACAACTAGTTGTAAAGGTCCTGAGGAGAATAGATGGACAGGACAACACACTGAGACTAAAAACTGATTAGGCATAAATAAGTAACATCTACATACATGCTTTGGATAGTGTTTAAACCAGAATAGAAGGCCACCACTGGGAGTTGATGGTGAGAAAACATGTTTTCATGAATGGAGAGTTCCGTTGGAGGTTTTGTAAAATCTGGCTCTCCTAAAAAGGCACCACGGCCTTTATGTAATGGAATATGCTACTATTTCCAAATATTCTAGTTTTTCTGTCTGTTTTTTTTTTTTTTTTTTTTTGATACAGCAGCAATCAGCAGCCTTCCTCATCTACCCTTGTCTTGGACATCGAGGCTGGCTGTCCGTCAGCGGTTGCTCCTTCCTCACCCGAATCCAACAACTCACCAGATCTTCAGCGGGCCCGTGAGAAAGAAATTCGAACAGAATCTTTCGTGTGTGATGATGACAGATGTACGGCCAAGGTGGCACGAACACAAAACGAGTCGTCACTTCCGTACTCACGTCCCCAAATTCAAATCCAGTGCGCCGTCTCATTGCAACGTGGAGGCCAGCACCCCCACCTCTCGGCGCCTCAGACTCTTGAAAACATAGCTGCCATCGAAATGGAGTCTGGTGGAAGAGCATATTCCCCTATAGTCTTAGGAACTGAGGACAATAATGGTGACAATGCACAAGTCAAAGTGGAGGCCATTGTTATTTCTGATGAGGAGCAGGACGAGGAAAAAGAGAACTGCAAAGAAAGCGAGCCGGTGATGGACGACGACTTTGACATTCCGGATGAGGAGCTGAACACACACACCTCCCGCCAAATGACGTCCGACTACGCCTCCCCTCACTCCCCTTCATCGTCGTCTTCGTTGGCCGCTTCATTACTCCCTCCACCGTCCACGACACAGCAACACTCGGACCACTCTGCCTTTTTAACAGACTTTCAGGACACCATGGGGGGCATCGTGGAGGATGTCCCGACGTGCTGCGTCTGTGGCAAAACCTTCTCGTGCACATACACGCTAAGGCGTCACGCCATCGTGCACACAAGGGAGCGCCCCTACGAGTGCCGCTTCTGCTACCGTAGTTATACCCAGTCCGGAGATCTCTATCGACACATTCGCAAGGCTCACGACCAAACACTGCCACCCAAACGCAGCAAGACTGATATGGAGCACATGCCAATGCCACAACCGCCACCACCCCCGCTGAGCTAGCAGGCAGTTGTTGAGTTTTTATACCACTTGTACTATAAACTGTCCTGGGGAGCTGGAGTCTATCCCAGCTGACATGGAGTGAGAGGCAGGGTAAAACCCGGGACTGGTCACAAGTCAAGCACAGGACACATTTAGAGACAGACAACCTTTCACACTCATTTGCACTGTCCCTGAGTGGCAACTGAACTCACACTGCCAGCCAACCGCTTCACCATCACTGACTCAGCTAACAAACAGACCTTCCAAATTAAGGCTGAAGATTTTGGAAAATAATCAAATTGCAAAGGTTTCTTTTTGCAATATGCAAAATTATAATACGCAATTGTTTTTTCAATGTTCTTTCCCCATGTGTTTTTTAATTAACACATACAATAATCTATATTAGCGGAACAATGAATGATATAAATTTATAATACGGTACATTAATCTTTTGGTGTTAGATTCGGCTTACATACTGTACAGACAAATGAAATATGAATTGATACGAAAGACAGGTGCTTGGAATAACAACCAACATCTCCATGCAGAAGAACCCGTTACTGCTTAGATCTTACACAGGACCCTCAAACTCGCAGGCACAGGACCTGAGTTCAAAGGAAATATCACCGAGGTGGGTAAGGAATTTTTTTTTTTTCTACCGACCAACCGAAAATAAGCAGAGGTTTTTTTTTTTACCCTTCAAAATTAATTACATCCTTTGTTATGTGAAATTTGCACTCAACTACATTGTGATGTTGTTTATAATTTGATTATTTGTTCAGCCCTTCTCCAAATTAGTAACCAAGTCAAATGAACCCCGAAATCCATTTTGTGTCTAAGATCTGATCGGAGTTACCAAGGGCAAAAAAAATTAAATAAAAAATAAGGCAATAGCCTGGGGCTGCAAGAAATCAAGCTGTCAGTGAAGGAAGATGAAGTGGAGAGTGACTTGAGTGACACTTCTCATCACAAAGATGGGAATTTTAAAGTGGTCAAAATGATAAACTATACAGTGATCCCTTCGCGGTTCGTCTATCGCGGATTTTTTCAAACAAAAATTTTTTTGTTATTTTTTTTTTTTACATATACATGGAGTACAGTACTGTATATGTTTGTCTATGTGACTTGCTGTTGTTTTGCAGCTTCTCGCAGACCGTTTGCGGACTTAAAAACATTTTTTTTTTTTTACCTGTTTATGTTAATTGGACGCTACTTCGCGGATTTTCGTTTATCGTGGGTGGTTTTGGTCCCCATTAACAGCGATAAACGAGGGATTACTGTATTAAATATTGATTAATTTTCTTAATCTCACCAGTTATAGTCAACACACTTTTTAGATATTAATCCCAAAAGGGATTTAAGGGACGGTCAAACTCAGGAAATAGCAGAATTTTCTCAAAATCACAGATTTTAGTTGCGGATGTAAAATATTCAAAATCTTTGCAGTACATGGATGTGAAGAACCCCGAATTGACTAACTGTGCTCGTATCTTAACAGAACTAAAATTTAGAGTGCAATTTCAAAAAACAAATGTTTTTGTTGCGGCGAGGGTTAAGACCATCTTAAATTTCACTCCTTGTATTGGATCTTATATGTCCATGCTGGGGTTCCTAATAAAATGTCCAGTCCATGTATACACAGGTGCTATGAATTTGGTTGGATAGTTTCTGAATTACTTTCTAAAAATTTGAACCAAAACGCACGTACAAAAAAGTACTAGATCGACAGACGTGTTTCAATAGCTCAATAAATATCATAGAAAAGCTCATTTATTACAGCACAATTCAAAACGCAAATCTTGACAGAACAGAAAGATCAATTTCCATGTATAATACAGTATGTATGAAAAGAAATTTATAATCATGAAATAGTTCAGTGTGTACTTAATTGAAATGACTTTCAATTGTTGAAATGAACTACTAAAATGAATTGAGTTTTCCACCACATTCCGATAGATAGAAATGCACCTGAATATGTAAATCACTCTCAACAAGTGGCTCAGTGCACCAGAAGCCTTAAACATATAGCATTGTTGTATTGCTCTGCACACTGGATAAGATGTACCGGTATTCAAGTTTGTGACTGTGCATAATTGTGTTGCGTTACAAACAATTGTGTTAGGGTATCTTATCTGTTTTGATTATTGTGCCATAAATTATTGACGGGAAATAAATCATGTACCATGCATGAGGTATGACATATTTAGATTTCAAACGCAAATATAAAGTAAATGGCTTCACGATTCCAAATAGAGATGTGTGTATCACCTCCTACTGTGACTTGCTTTGAATTGTGTCTTGTTTTAACCTTCTCTCAGGTTCATCAATCCAAAAAATGTCATGCTGGTAGTTTTAGTAGATGTAATTCATTGTGCTGTTGATGTTTTACTAGTTTGGAATGAACGGTGTCCTTAATTTTCTCAATCCTAGCTCAAATGTGTGTGATTGACAAAATATTAGGATCACCTGATTTCACCACAAATGGTCATCATCATGAATTTGTACAGCTGGGCTGATGTATTGCCCTGCATGTACTTTATCTGTTTGCTAAGTAAAGTGACAAGTGAGTGCAAGATTTCAGCTAAGCAGCTAAATATGACAAAGTCAAAATGTCAACATGGAAGCAATGAGAAAAAAAGGTAATTTATTTATTTTTTAATGTGACAAGTGTCTGCCAATGGCCCGAAGTTTGTATCGTTCTTGTTGGCCCTCTGGACATTTTGAAAATTAATACCAAATAAATATTCATATTTTATGTGATTGTGTCTGTGTGAGTCCTTAAAGATATTTATTTTCCATAGGATGAAAAACAAAAAACAAAACAGAATAGAGTTTTCTGCTTGGTCATGGGCAATTGAGTTGGCACCACGCTCGCCAGTGTGTTTATCCATTAAAAATGTGAAGATGATATAATATAGACATGTTTCAGTGAGGGCGGCCTGGTAGTCGAGTGGTTAGCACGTCGACTTCACAGTGCAGAGGTACCGAGTTCAATTCCACCTCCGGCCTTCCTGTGTGGAGTTTGCATGTTCTCCCCGGGTCCTCCGGTTCCCTTCCACATCCCAAAAACATACATGGCAGGCTGATTGAACACTCCAAATTGTCCCTAGGTGTGAGTGTGAGCGCGAATGGTTGTTCGTTTCTATGTGCCCTGTGATTGGCTGGCAACCGGTTCGGGGTTTCCCCCGCCTATTGCCCGAAGACAGTCGGGATAGGCTCCAGCACCCCCCATGACCCTAGTGAGGATAAAGCGGTTCGGAAAATGAATGAATGTTTCAGTGAAGTAGTTTTCTTTATTTCAATACAAAATTATTTAGAAAATACAAACAATACATTTACTTTTTTTCTCTGTTACAACCATTAACTCACTTTTTGTGGACTATGGCCAGTCACCAGCAAAGTTATTTGATTCCAAACATGCACATCTACAGTCTGGGCAAACCTTCTCCTGGTTGCAGGATTTTCCCTAGTCTTCTACTGCTCCATGAATCTACAGAGACAAAACATAAACATCAAACATTACTGACAACTGAAAAAACAGTCTAACCACATTATAGAACTAGTGCCATCCATCCATCCATCCATGTTCGATACTGAATGTCATCATTAGGGTTGTGGGCAAAATGCTTAACTAGTCATCAGGTGGTAAGACACATCCAGACAACGATTAATCCTCATAGTTACACCTATGTACAATTTCAAGTCGTCAATGACCCAAACAAGCATGTTTTTGGAATGTGGTCGTACCCAGAAGAAACGCACAGAAGCACGGGGAGGCACACTCCACATAGGGAAGCCCAGAGATGAAATTCAAACCTCAGAACTGTAAGGTTTATTAAGATTACAACAGTTTCTTGAAAGTTTACTGTAGGTAATTAGAAATAATATCTTCACCGCTTCAGCAAGCTCAGGCCAATCCATTGCCATCACTACTGCATCGTCCGAGTTAGGAGGGTTCTCGAGGTTCCAGTAGGTCAGCTTGTCAAACACACAGGACACCTTCAAAGTCCTGTCCTAAACATTCACAAACAGAAATAAAAGACGCACAGTCATTTGTTTTAACAATCCATTGTTCTCCATTTTCTTTACATGAACCCAACAGTGAGATTTGTCATGTCTACCTCCTGATCCGAGCTGGGCTTGTTGAACTCCTTCAGCACCAGACCAGTGTAGCCTTGTGGACAGATGAGCTCCTGCCCTTTGAGGCCACGACCCCGGAATGAAATAGTCTTCTCTGTAATGGGAAACATGCATGTAAGGTCGATTGACATCCAAAAGAAATACATACAGTAATCACAGAAATCTCTTCTATTTACTGTACCATGTTTGCGGTCCTTCATGGCAGCATTGAAGTACTGCGAAATCTGTGCAGGTCCATTGTGTTCAATCTCACAAGGGATCAGATGCAGCGGTTCTCGAAGTGCCTTGCCCGCAGATGATGCATCAACACGGGTTACACTGCTGTAACAGGACATCCTGCAACAGGGTAGCTTGAAATGTATTGGTCGATTCATGGATAAAAAAAAAAAAAACCTGTTGGGAATCTTGCCCTATGTCTCCTTGTTAGAGAAGAGCAACCTGTTCAAAAAGTACTGGAATATTGAACATTCAAAGGTTTAAAGAATGGCAATTTAAATTCCCATGTAAAGGTTTCAGTGTGTTTGATTTCACCCGAACGTCGAATATCCCCATCTTTGTGAATGGTTGTCTATGTCCTGCTTTTTTAGAATACACTGACTTCGAATTATATTGCTGTGAATAACAGTGTTATGTTCAAGCACGTTTTCACTTATGATTTTAGTACATATAATGTTTAACATATTCCCCGATAATAGTTTACCAATTGACGAGTATCTTTAAAAATCACTACCTTCCGAACAATTATATTGACCACTAATTCCATGTTTGTCAGGTACAATGACGTCATTTGACTAAAGGTCTCCAACTTTACCTTCTTTGTGTTGTTTTGAAACGAACGCGGGTGAGTTCCGGGTCGATCTGAATCGAGGTTTTGATTGGACGAGCAAATCTTCTTCTACGCCTATAGATAGTTTGGCGGCATAATTGTGTTGAGTGTTGCAATGTCTCCCTCTTTTGATGAGTGATCAAATTACTGTACGTTATTTGTAATTATGTTCTCGGTTCATGTTTTCGCAACTTTTATAAAGGGCCTATTTTATTAGATCTGAATTATCAACATGTAAATTTGGTAGTCCTGCTCTTTTATATTGTAAAAATAAATAAATAAATAAATAAAAAGTCAAGTGTAAAGATAGAATTAAGTATACAGTACAGTCACAAAGTAGGAGGAAAAGAGGTAGGTAATAATTATTCATGAGTGTGTTGACTGTATTTGCCTAATTTGCGAAACTGCCAGGTAACAAGATTTACCAATTGGAATCAAGACCAATTGTCCATGGACCAATCACAGCCTTTGGCGATAAGGCTTTGGCCAAGCAGGGTCCTCGAAGTTCAATCGTTGTCGTGCGCTCTAAGTTGATAGATAAAAGTGGACGTAAACTGGGTAAGCATACATTTTAAATTGAAGTAGTCATATCATAATCACGATTCTTAATTGGTTAGAAAGTTGGTCAAGTGATAGTTATGAGTTCTTCCAGCAAAACGAAACGATGTGCTGTATTTAAATTCTGAAAAAAATGTCTCCGGTTTTATTAAATGGTTTGGCCATACCGGTGCTTTAATTTATATACAGTTCTGAATTTCTTGAGTAGACCAAAGTCGAGTTATTTCACAAAATGGAAGACTTCCATACATTACTTTGGTCAAGCTAATTTTCTTGTCTCTCTTTGTTCTTTGTGTTAGCATTGATCAGCAAAACCCCAAATTATAGCCAATGGAAATCCCACATTCTTTG